TTACGGCCCTTTTCGCCGTTTGTTCCGCTCTGTTCCGCGTTTTGAGAAAATCGCAGTCAAAGGAGACAAGTTTTGTTTCCCGCCCGGGCCGACCGGCCGCCTGGCTTCTGTCGCCGGTCGTTTTCTGGTTTCGAATTTTGTCAGATAAGAGTTTCTGGGACCCATTTTAAGAGTGACTCCCCACCCCCTTCCCAATATTGCTGGATCCGCCCCAGTTTCTGGTAATCAACAATAATCAGTAGAATATTCAAAGTATTCAAACGTATTCAACCATATTCGGTGATATTCAATGATATTCAATGATATTCAAATATTCAAACATAATCGATATATTCACTATAATCATACGTAATCATCATAATAATCCATAATATTCAATATATTCATAATGATCATACGTAATCGTCTCGAAAATTACATATTAACGAATATAATCACATAATCACTTTCACAAAACAAGAAAGTGCGAACCCAACCAATTCTGGTGAGCCTTCCCTGTCCCCCCTCCTCTTCCTCTCCCCCCCCCCCCCCCCCTCCACCGTTCCTCTTCCCCTCCTTGTCGATCCCACTTGCAGTGCAGCTTAACTTATTTATTTACCATGAGTGATGAATGCTTCGTTTTTTTTTGTATAAAGCGAATCGTGTATCAAAGCCAATACTGAAATACGCATTTTACCTGTAAAATCGCGACCAAAATAAGTTGGCTCTACTGTGACGTCAGAGGGCGTATTGTTGCTGTTTGTTTGTTGCTTCTCCGACTGGCGTTAGTGCCTTCCTAGACGCAGATCCAAGGTGTGAATTTGTGACTATGCGTTGTGATTAGGAATGTGTAGCACCGATGCAGCTCAAATTATCTCCTGTACATTTTATGTTAAGAAATAGCTGACATGGCGTCGTCGGCCAACAACGACGGGAGCAGCCAAGGCGGCCAAGGAACGGAGAGCCGGGCCCCCAATGTCTCTGATGAGGCTAAGAATGAGGTAAACGTCGTTTTCATTGTAAGAGTGAAACAACCACGTCTTGATTCATCATCATCCTCTCCTGTCCTTTTTTTACTTTTTTAAATCATTAGTAGTTTGGATTTAACTTCTTGTTTTGGTCGAGTCAGTTTGAGGTTATGGGCACAGCACTTTAGGTTGAAAAAGTCTTTTGTTGAATTTTAGCGTATTTTGAACACGGATGCTGGACTTAGATATTCTTAACTAACAGGGACACATCTAGGACTAGGTCCTTAGTTTGAACTTTCGGTTACGTGCACTAGGCATTGCTTAACAGACGAAGTTTAGTCCAGGTCCAGCCGTCCAGCTACAGCAGGCCTAGGCACAGGGAGCAAGGGGTATTTACAGTCAGAGCTCGGAGTATCTGCGCTGGCCATGCAATATTGCTGAGCATAGGGTATTTGCACTGGCCATGTCATAGTGATGCAGATGCAATACACTGCAAATGCAAAGGCGATACTCAAGAACTTTTTTTGGCGATACAATTCAGTATCGCCAACAAACGGCATTACGGAAAAGTATTGCCTTCAGAACGGCGATACACAGAAGTATCGCCAAAATTTGGCGATACTTTTGGGTATCGCCAAAACCACGGCATTAAACTAACGACTTGCCCCCTTGATTTGTTCAACGTTTAATGCCAAATCTTGGCAATACCCCGAAGTATCGCCAAATTTTGGCGATACTTTTGTGTATCGCCGTTTTGAAGGCAATACTTTTACGTAAGGCCGTTTATTGGCGATACTAAATTGTATCGCCAAAAAAGGTACTAAAAGTATTGCCGTTGGATTTGCAGTGTAGCCACTTGATCTGTGTTCATTTTTCCTATTCTTTTTTTATTCTAGTTTAATATTTTATGTTTTCTGTCTGTTTCAGGCTTTATTCGGGGAAAAATGTATCGCTGAAAACAAAGATTTCATTACCTTTATCCATTGTGGCACTCCTCAAGCATCTAGGATTTGACAATGAGACAGCTCTCCGAGCTTTTACTAAAGAAAAGAAGAGGAAATGGAAAACTTTATGCGGAAGTTCCAAAAGTGAGTATGCATGGCATGGTGCCATCACACCTCAGAAGCAAAATTTTTATCCAAAGAAGTTTGTTTATTATTATTTGTACAATACTCCTGCATGTGTTATTTTACTTTATTCAGAAATTTCTATTCTTATCTTGAAAACGTATCGGAACATCAAAATTGTCATCGGATGAATGATTCCCAAACTGTCCACGCAACCATTTCAAAGAAGCTTGCGCCCAGACCCTTTAAAGATATCAGTCATTTTAAAAAAATTTGGGGTTGGAGCCGTTTAAATTTTTTAGCCCTTTCAAAACTACCCCGATAGGTGAGGAACTGCAGACGTTCGAAAAGAGCACATTTTAGCGATGGCGCTACGTTGGAAAGCCTGGGGCTCGTTCGAATTCGCAGTTCAAATTCAAAAAAAAAATTTTCCCAGGTGTTCTCTACCCTAAGGCCTATCACCGTCCCAAAATTTTCAAAATTTGAACTGCGATAGGAAAGGAACTGCACAGGTTGAAAAAGAACGCATTTTTGGCAATGGTGCTTATTTGGCAGGCCTGTGGCTCGTTCGAATTCGCGGTTCAAATTCTGAAACTTTTCCAAATTTTTTCTACCCAAAGGGCCCTACCACCGTGCTAAATTTCAAAATTTTGAACTGCGAATTCGAACGAGGCACGGGCTTGCCAACTTAGCGCCATCGCTAAAATGTGCTCTTTTCGAACGTCTGCGTTCCTCACCTATCGCAGTTCAAATTCTGAAATTTGGCACGGTGGTAGGCCTTGGGGTAGAGAACCCCTGGAAAAAGTTTCAGAATTTGAACTGCGAATTCGAACGAGCCACGGGCCCTGCCAACTTAGCACCTTTGCAAAAAAATGCAGGTGTTCTCTACCCTAAGGCCTACCATCGTGCCAAATTTCAGAATTTGAACTGCGATGGGAAAGGGGAACTGCACAGGTTGGAAAAGAACGCTTTTTTAGCAAGGGGCTAAGTTGGCAGGCCTGTGGCTCGTTCGAATTCGCAGTTCAAATTCTGAAATTTTTTCCCAGGCGTTCTCTACCCAAAGGGCCCTACCACCGTCCCAAATTTCAGAATTTGAACTGCGATAGGAAGGGAACTGCACAGGTTGGAAAAGAACGCATTTTTAGCAATGGTGCTAAGTTGGCGGGCCTGTGGCTCGTTCGAATTCGCAGTTCAAATTCTAAAACTTTTCCAGGCGTTCTCTACCCTAAGGCCTACCACCGTGCCAAATTTCGAATTTGAACTGCGATGGAAGGGAACTGCACGGGTTTGGGAAAAAGAACGCATTTTAGCAATGGTGCTAAGTTGGCAGGCCTGTGGCTCGTTCGAATTCGCAGTTCAAATTCTGAAATTTTTTCCAGGCGTTCTCTACCCTAAGGCCTACCACCGTGCCAAATTTCAGAATTTGAACTGCGATAGGTGAGGAACTGCAGACGTTCGAAAAGAGCACTTTTTAGCGATGGCGCAAGTTGGCAAGCCTGCGGCTCGTTCGAATTCGCAGTTCAAATTCTGAAACTTTTTCCAGGCGTTCTCTCCCTAAGGCCTACCACCGTGCCAAATTTCAGAATTTGAACTGCGATAGGTGAGGAACTGCAGACGTTCGAAAAGAGCACATTTTAGCGATGGCGCTAAGTTGGCAAGCCTGCGGCTCGTTCGAATTCGCAGTTCAAATTCTGAAATTTTCCGGGCGTTCTCTGCCCAAAGGCCTACCACCGTGCCAAATTTCAGAATTTGAACTGCGATAGGAAGGGAACTGCACAGGTTGGAAAAGAACGCATTTTTAGCAATGGTGCTAAGTTGGCAGGCCTGCGGCTCGTTCGAATTCGCAGTTCAAATTCTAAAATTTTTTCCAGGCGTTCTCTTCCCAAAGGGCCTACCCCCGTGCCAAATTTCAGAATTTGAACTGCGATAGGTGAGGAACTGCAGACGTTCGAAAAGAGCACATTTTAGCGATGGCGCTAAGTTGGCAAGCCTGTCCCTCGTTCCAATTCGCAGTTCAAATTCTGAAATTTTTTCCAGGTGTTCTCTACCCAAAGGCCTACCACCGTGCCAAATTTCGGAATTTGAACTGCGATAGGTGAGGAACTGCAGCCGTTCGAAAAGAGCGCATTTTTTGCGATGGCGTTATTTGGGCAAGCCTGTGGCTCGTTTGAATTCGCAGTTCAAATTCTGAAACTTTTTCCAGGTTTTCTCTCCCCTTAGGCCTACCACCGTCCCAAAATTTTCAGAATTTGAACTGCGATTGGGAAAAAGCTGCAGAAAAGTGTGGCTGGCGATTTTTGTGGGTGGCCAACATTAGTCACGTACTTTTTCGACCGATTTATCGTTGAGTTCCGTTTAAAACGCTAAATAAAGCCCGATAAAGCCGTAAAACGTTTAAAATTGTGAAATTTATGAGTAAAGCAAGGTGTACTCACCCGTACTCATGTACTCATGTGTACACCAGAACGATGAGTGATTCACCCCTCGCGTTATCGTTACTCAAGCCGAACGCGGCATCCCGCACTGTGAAAATTTGTTGTCACTTTATGACAGAAACGCGGATGACATTTTCATCTCTTTCGAATCATGACAATCTCGTCACAAATTGATGACATTTTCAACAAAGCTCCTTTACTAATTGCATGGGCGTGACAACAATGTCAACAATTTTTTTGATGACGTCCTTGTAAGGAAAACACTCTCATTCCGGGAACGTGACATCACGTTGACACGAACGTAACAAAATGTCACGTTCGTTCGAGCATTGTGTCACATTTGTTTGGGTGTGAATCGGCCAAAAATCAGCTTGTAAACGAATGTGACACAATGCTCAAACAAACGTGACATTTTGTCACGTTCATTTCAACGTGATGTCACGATCCTGGAATGAGAGTGAATCAGCCTCGAAATGGTCATCAAGTGACGACTCAAATTTTCGCAGTGCGGTCTCTTGGAGGACCCACGTTCCTTTTGGACGAAACTGTAGCGACAGTCTGTCGGCAGCTTGCCCGTGCGCCGGGCCCTGCTGGGCGTGACCGGGGGCCGCGCGACGCTGGGCCGCCACTACCGCTCCAAGAACCGGCAGGAGGTGGCGGTGGCCGAGGCGGTGGTGCACCCCAAGTACGCGGCGGACCGGCGCCACCACGACATCGCCCTGCTGCGCCTCGCCCGGCCCGTCGCCCTGTCGGCCCTCGTGCGGCCGGCCTGCCTCCACACGCCGAGCCACGGACCCGAGTGGGGCCTGCGAGCCTCGGCCACGGGCTGGGAGGCCTCCGGACACTGTAAGTTCTGTTGCTGGTTTTCCCAGGAACTGCCTGGAAATCGCCTATGTCTCTAGGTTTCCTGGGACAACCAGGTTCCGTTTTTACCGTGCATGGAGCGACTGCCACTGACAAAAATTATGTTCAAGGGGGAGAGTGCAGTAATTCTCCCAGCGAATTTCAGCCATGCTGCATACTTACGGGCGTAAGTCTAACACGTGATCCCCTCCTTTGTTTTTCACGCACAGGGCAAGCCGTTGACGGAGAACTGCGCCGATCACAGCTGACCGTGCTGCAGCCTGAGACATGCCGGAAAGCGGTAGCGTCTCTGAGGGAGTCGCAGCTTTGTACGGGTAGAACGTGTCTCAACAACACTTTTCCGGTAAGAACTGACATAAAAACTTTCTTGAAAAAAAAAAAAAAGCCGAGAGCAACTTTAGAACG